AGTATTTTCCTGCACAGGTTTCCCTTTTCTCCCAAACATCCAAATCCAGCAGATGTCACTTCTAGTGCACAACAGTGCAAGTCCGTAAGTCCTTCCGTCGCACACCAACCAGCCATAGCCAAGCACACGCACAGGAACAAAAGGATTCACTCACCAACATCCCAGAGCTGAGCTACCATTGCTGCTTCTGCGGGAGTGCAGTGTCTCCCTCCACATGGAACCAGCGTGCAGGTTTCGACAGCACAAAGTTTCTGAGAACGCTTCCCACAATGGGGTGGTTCCCGCTTGTCCCACCACAACATCCCTGGGGCTGGGCTGGAGGCAGTCTCCCCTCTGATGAGGCAGCAGGGCTGGGCAGATGGGCAAAGGTCCCAGTGCCTTATGGCCAGTGATCAATGGGCCTAAGAGCAGTACTTAGGTAGGGTCTACAGCTTACAGACTCCTCCCAGTAAATCTGTCTGATCTGAGCTGTATTTCCAGCACACCACCAATTAGAAAAAAACAAACAAACAAATAAGAACTGGTGTGGCATTTTTTCATGCCTTGTGCCTAACACTAGAGGAACATATGTCTTCTCCTGAAATAGAAATGAAGACAAAGGTACCTGGATCGTGGTCTGGCTCTAAGTGCAGTAGATTCCTGAGCAGCTGGAACAGAAAAGAAAAAAGAACCGCTAAAGCATAGCATTTTACACAGACACCTTTGGTTGCAAAATCAGTGTTGATTAAAAACATGAGTGTTGTAAATGCGGATGTGAAAGTGTGCTCATCTTACGTGAGCAATAAGGATTGATTTTCACTTCTCCTTCGTCTTTGTTTTGTAGTATGTGAATGTTTTAAGAATTCCAAAGGCCCCACGTAGCCAGAGCTTCGCCTTTTAATTTGGTTACCAAAATGCAGGAAAAGCAATAGGTCTGACAGCTCTGATCTGTACTCTGAGTGTAGCTGTGACAAAGCAACATGAAGAACAGCATAAGCTTTCCAGAGAAAACTTTTTATTCCTAAGTCCAGATATCTCTTAATTGTCTTGCTTCCCAAAGCCAAAAGGCTTATGTCCTTCCTAAATACTTCGTCTATTTAGCATAAATGTATATCTTCTTACCATTCATAAGAAAAATTAACACATCAGGTTAAAATTACTTAGATATTGTGAAGGAAAGATATCTGAAAGTGGAAAGCTCTACAGGCTAAATGTTGATCAAACACATTTCTATCAACGTAAAAATCAGTTTACTTTATTTGAATGAATTCCAAAATACCCTGCCAAAAGCAGGTTTTATGTGATAGGAAAACAACAGTTCTCACTTATCTTCTCTGGGTAATTCCTCAAGGCTGTACCTGGGTTTACATAGACTTTTTGTGACTTTTCTCTTACTCTCCTTAGTAACATCAGATAATTCTGAGAAAACATATCTGTGTGACTGCTTTCAAATTCAGCCCTTGTAATGCCTTGAGATATCCTCAAGGTATTACAGCAGCATCAGTGATGCCAATGCATACACAAAGTGAATCCCTGTACTTTTCCCATTATTTCACTAATTAAGGTAAGAGGAGCAAGTAGGTTGGGGAAAAAATAATAAAAACATTTCTCAGAGCTTCTAGCTTCCTTCAGATATGTATCTACTTCCAAGTCAGACATTTATCACCAGCTACTCTAGCACTACCTGAGAGTATGACAGATCCTCCAAAACATGGAGAAGGAGCTACCTGTGGTTGCAGCTGGCAAATACTGACATTTTTAATGGTTTACATTGAAATATCACATAGATCCTCCATAGGAGGCTTCAGGCTTACAGAACACAAGTAGCAGCATACGGCACACATATAGCCACGGAGTATTTCTCCATAAAAGAAACTGCTTTTATGGTCATGCAGTGCTAGTTGGTGCTTTGGATGGAATAAACCCAAATGCAGCTGGCAGTGACACAAACGACCACTTAAAAAACAAGTTCTAGTAGATTATTGTCACCAGCAAACTGCCTCACAGTCGTTCTAGATTTCTGTGCAACAAACTCTTCCCAGCAACTGAAGGAGGGAGAGGGAATTATTATTAAAATATGCAGTGGTGATAATCCTCCTCTCTATGTCAAACTCCCAGAGAATACATCTTCAGACATTGCTTCCCTACAGCCATATGACCCAATTTTTTCAATGCTGAAATTGCTGATTTTTAAATTACATGCAACAATTATTAAATATATGCCACTAAGAAATAGGAAGTATAAATCCTTTCCAAGCTAAGACATGTTTAAGAACCTTCAAATTTTCCTTCTTTTGTGGAGACCATAATTCTGTTCATACTTCTTTTAGAAAGCCTTTTCTCTGAAAATCTGCAGGTAAAACTGACATTCAAACTCTCTGAGGACACCTTGTCGAGGTAAACACACAAGGAAGAGAGAAATTCTGAAATGACTACTAATAAAAAATAACAGCAATATAATACTACTTCCAAGGATTTTCTTTCAAGCTTTTAAAAAATCAGGAAATTCAAGGCTGCAATTACACAATACTGGGCCTTAGCTTTACCTCTTAAAAGAAGCAGTTTGATACATTAAAAAAAAAATTACAAGGCAGATAGTTCATTACTAGCACAGACAAATAACTGTAGCAGGATTTCCATAAAATTTGCAGTTATTGTGGTAAGATTAGTCTGTGCATATTTTGTGTTTGAGGTGCAGGTTTATACAGATACAACATAATCAAAACGATACAAAACTATTTATCCAGTTCATGAGTCTTCCATATTTCTATCACTATGCATACATAAGCCTGAGTTACATGAAACTGATAAAAAGTTAAAGCTGTTGAGTAAATGAATTACGTTTATTATTTAAAAGTTTGCACGATTCCTGGAGCCTAATGAACTGAACAGCTTGGTCTAATTGGCACTAATTAAAGTCATATACGATCATGAACTCATTTATTCATTCACAGGAGAGCGTTCCTGTTTTGGGTGTGTAACTGCTCCCATGTCCCTGTTCCAATACAACTTCATTTTACCACTCCAAAGGATGCTGATTCAGTAACTTTTGGCTGTAGACTAATACCTTATACTCAGCTGGTGCCTTCTTGCTTTACCAGTTGAAGATCAGGTGGGAAATTGTATCATAAGAAGTGCAAGTATGCCACATGGCTAAAGAAAAAAATCCAAATAATTTCTCACTAGTCCAAATCGTCCCCACTGACTTATGTCTTACTGGTGGCCCAGGCAGAAACGTACAATTTAAACACTCGCAAATTTGGCCCTCAGCCCTTTGAAAGTCTACAGCCAACAGTGATTTTGCAACAAACCGGCCAGATATTCAGAGGTACTGAACATGTGAACTTTTTACTGATTTCAGTCCTTCTGATGGCAAAGGAACTTTCCTATAGTGAAGTACAGCAGTATCACCTTTCCTGAATTTACACGAGCAGCCCAAGTGAATAACCAAAGGATGCAAAATTTATCTCACTTCATCCCAACTGATTTTTCATTCTAAAGGTTCATGATTACAATGACTTTTTGAGAACGGTGAGCAATTCTGAAAAATCACTCAATTATTGTGCTGTACCTAGCCCAACTAGAGAGATAAACATTTCTACTTCTAACATCAGTGGTATCATGCAACCCAAAAATGTGCAGGACAGCAAGGGTGAAACCCTACAGTGACTGGAGTCATGAAGATGGGGTGAAAATCTGCTGCTGTCTCCCTTGGTGTACAAACACAGCAACGCTGCTGGAGGAGCAGAGCGGCATTGGGAAGACCGCCCTCAGCAGGAGATGAAGGACATGGGGGAAGGAGGTTGATGGCAAAGGAGATTTGCAGGTGGCAGTAGGTGTTTTTTACCTAAGTGTAGAGAAGATGGAATTGCTGAACTGAAACTAAAACTTTCCAGGGTGCTTCTGGGCAAAACTGAGAGTGGAGAACAACAGAACTGAAAGTCTTGCAACCACCCTCCTCTCCTCCTGAGAGGGAAGTGTGTATGTGTGAAGGAGAAGCAGTAATAATTTGAGAATAGGAGCTGAAGATGGGAAATTTGGCAGTTGCCAAATGTTTGGGAAGAAGCCAGGGGAAAAAAGAAAAAAAGAAAAAAAAAAAGAGTTGGGAAATGAAGCATGCAGCTGTTGAGCAGCCATGAATAAATTGAGCTATAAGACAAAACTGCTGTGATAGACATGTGGGGTCAGTTTTCTTAATCAAGCATATCTTCATAAGTAAAAACATTTATGCAACAGGAAAAGAAAGCAAGTCCAGATTTTAGCTTGACTAGGAGAAGGGAGGGCTTGGTAACACTCTTACAACTCTAGGAAAGAGATTAACAAAGGCAGCAGCAAGGGAGGTCTCATGAGCTGAACTGAATGCATAGGAAGTTTCTGGAGCAACTCAGTAATTTCAACATATGTTGTTCCAAAAATAACATTTTCCAGTACGACAGGAACAAGGAGTGTCTGTTGGAGTTGGAGGGAGAAAAATCAGGGGTGGTTTCAACAAAGAAACACCCCTCAAATCAAAAGCTTGCATCAGTGCTCTAAGTGTCTCAAGGTCTGTGCATCCATAAAGCTGTTTAGCCTTAAACTCCTTGAAAGAGAATACGAAAGGTCAGTTTTCACAAAGAAGCAGGCCATTTCAGAATAGTTACTGAAACACTACACAGTTATTCTACACTTTAAAAGAGGTTTTACCAAGAGGTGCAATGTTTGTGCTCTTGCATCTTGTTTGTAGCACAGTAAAACTCTAAAAATAGTATGTCAAAAGCATTTGCCACACATATATAGAAACACACACACTAACAGTGAGAGAAAGAAAGCAAGAAAGCCTTTTGATAACCTGAGGCAGTAATTAATATTTACCTTGCAAGTAATTGTTATTATGTAGTAAAAGCCAATTTCAGTAGTAAAACAGTATGAGAGCAAAAGAATCTTAAAAAAAATTAAATCACACTAAATTCAGCTAACTGTGATATAAAAATATTTAATTGAAATTCTATTGGAAGTAACACATAGAATTCTTCTCTTCTTACCTGTTTTCACAGTCAAGTGCTGAAATTCCTTTGGTATTGTTTTGAGAGCAGTGCTTACTTTAAGAGCTTAATTAAACAAAAAACAAAGTAATGAGAATTACTTTAATTAGGTGCAGGTAAAACCTATGTGTATCAGTTCTGAGAAAGGAGCATATAAACCAGTATTAGTTAGCACATTTAATAATGCCAAACAGACTTGAAAACTGGCCAAATCCTTTCAGAATACCCAAGCACTCAGAAAAGTAATAATTTCCAAGAGCACAAAAGTAAAAATTAGAAAGCCTATTGCCCAAGTTGCCAAATAACCTCAAATTTCGGAAAAAAAAAAAAAAAAGCGGGTGTTTGAGTGCCTAAAACCAAGGACAACTTCTCTGCCAGAGATGTTGCTCCTCTCATGGAGGCAGCAGCTAGAGACACTTGGCAGAGCTGGGACTTACATCTCCCAAGTTACAAACCTGGAGAGCCAGGGCGTGTGAGAGACCAGCTGCTTCTGGCTACTGAAGCCTTGCCAGCCTGCCCAAGGAAAAGGCACCAACAGAGCGGGCGTTAAAATTTAGGAAATCCCAATCTTTGTGCTTATTCCCCTTCCACTGATGCTTACATATCCTTTATTAGTAACTTTCTTCAGGCTTTCCTACATGCACTATGGTACTGTAATACACAGTATTATAAACAATAACTTGGAATGAAGTCTCACATCTCTTTCTGCCTTTATCAAATAAAACATATGGGAAAAGTCTGGTTCTTTTGATCCAGCACCAATTAAATTATCTTCCACATTTAACTTGTATACACAAGTACATATATACTTGCATATATTAACTATATAAACTTGCATAGTTTTGAAAATGCAGGAAAATTTGCTTCTACAAATTATACAAATTCTTGGCTTCTGGGGAGGTCTTATCAGTCAGGAGAGCAATTTGCTCTGACATTCACCAAAATAGCAATAAGTGGTAGAACAAGAGCATTTGCTCTTTGGCTGAAAAGGTAGGAATCTGTGTTATAAATACAGCAACTTGCAGCCCTGAAGGACTGGATATACCAAAACAGCCTCCCATCTGACTTAACATGTCAGCTACAAAAAAGCAAAGGACAAGCTCACCAACAGGGAAGAAAAGAAAAATCCCTTTGCGAAAAGTAAATCTTCCCTAGACATTTCAAAGCAGTAACATTCAAGGTTCAGGTCCTGCTTTGGTTCATTATGAATTTTACAACAAAACAAACCTTGTCAACAAAACATCAATTTCTTGGAAAATGCTAACTTGTCAAAATGTTCTACAAGCACTCGTCAACTCCAACAACATATCTTTGATCCAGGGATGCTGGGGATCTGCCAAGCTTGGTCACACTTGAGTGTGGAAGGTGATTCAGGAACGTGAACTACCTGGTCTCACAGTTCTGATGCAACCTTAACAGGTGGACAGCCAGGAGATCAAGATATATTTCTTTTTTTAATTAAAAATACTCAAAATTGTTTTGTTTCCGCAATGGAAGGACAACAAATGACAATCTGAAAGGCTGGGAAAAGGAAATAAAAATGACTGACTGACGATCCAGTGCCAACTGTGGAAATCTTAGGAGCTAAATTTGTTTTGCAAGAAAATATATGGTGTGTAGTACTTTTTATATATAGGAATAAAACCTAATTTTGAAGTACCGTGACTTCCTGCGAACAGAGAAATCCAAAATTTGTCCAGATGTAGTCTTTACTCTTACAATATTCCTGATAACAACTACAACTTCCTTACATTAAGAAGTGCAACACTGATTGACGTAGGATTAAAAATATTTTAGAACGTGAACTTCCTATCTTTCATATATGATAGATCTAATTTTGAAGCAAACCCATTCATTTATTTGTCTTCAACTCAGCTGCTGTCAAAGAATTCTCTTTAAATTCACAGCCACACAGAGCCAGCTTAGAAACTAAACATACTATTGCTTCTGACAGTAAAAATATGGGATTACTAAAAATACACAAAATTTAACTTGTAATGGGAAAAAAAAAGTCTTTGCGGTACCTTGTTTGTCATCTTTCTTTCCATCTTGTAACAGGGCAGAGTTATCAGTTACCTCTTCAGCTGATGTCTTCTTAAAGAGAGCAGATTTATTATACTTATTAGTATAGTTCACGTTTCCACAGTCAAATAATTAAGACTACAGAGCGACACAAATAAAGGTGATATTCTCTCTTGCACAGTAGTCTGCTACATCAGATAAAGAAGCATAGAGGATCTAAAGAAAGGCAATATAACTCTGCTTTTAAAGGCACAGCAGTTCCACACCTGAAACTAGAGAAGCACTTCGACAGCGACTCATAAGGACCTAGGGACTGTATGCAAGGAGATCCTCCACACAAAAGAGCAATGTCATTCCACAATTTCTTTTCTCTTTTGGTGTAGTGCTTGAGCAAGGGTTGAGGAAACCTTCTCTAGCCCCTTCACAAGAGTCAGTCTCCATCACAATCATCTCTCTAGCCAAAATTCCAGAGCCCAGTCGTTCTGCATTTAAAGTCTTTCAGCTGAAGTGGATGATCCTTGAACTACTTTTTCCTTTCAACATGCATTAACTGAGATGGGGAAAACCAAATTTCACTAGCATGTCTGCCAGAGGCCCATTCAGGTCTCTGATGGAAAAACAGAGATGTTCTCTCCCATTTTATTCCTTAACTTTGCTTTATTGCAGCAGCACCTTATAGGCACTTACTGTTCGTATAACCTCTGACGTGTAGCTCACAAGAAGGAACCAGGAACAAATTCTACCTCTGTTATCTGTAAGAACAAAGATACACTCCAGAACCAAAACAACAATCACACAAATGTCAGAAAACCCAAGCTTCTCTAAATACTAGAGTCATGCTGGCTTTTTTTCCCAGGCAGCATGAAAGAGGTTGGACCTAAAAATGGCCTAAAATCATTTGGCCTAAAAAAATTAATTCAGAAACATAGATTTTGTCAACATTTTTTAAAAGAATCTCAAATCAGTAATTCAAGAAGGCCAAGTCCAGAGTGAAGGTCTATGTGACTTGATTGATAAAGTTGCATATGAGATTCCCTAATGCTTCTGAGGAAGCAACAGAGCAAAAACACGGCTGGAGGACTCTGAAAATGTATGAACAGAACTCTTCACATCCATTGCTGGCCCTGATACTCTAAAGTAAAGAGTGTCAGACTAAAGACCTAATTCAGTGCATGCTGGAATCAACAGAATGACTCCCACAATTTCCAGTGAACTGTGAGCATGACATTTCTGAGGGAGTTTAGACGAACCCCAGCCAGTCATTTTATGCATATAATGAGAAGTCTTGTGTTTTATCTTTAAGCTTTTGGCAGTGAGAAAGCTTGTGGAAAAGAGCCAAAGCAATGGAAGAAGAAAAAAAAAGATCAGAACTAGAGTGTGAGACAAAATCTTGAGGAAAAAAAACATGAGAAGACAAAACCTCCTTAGTTAACAAAAAGCAGTCACCCTTGTCATGCTCAAGCATAACATTAACAGTCTTTGTGTGTTTTTTAAGTCTAACAAATCCTAGCACTCAGGTGACCTGTCTCCTGTCATTATTTCCTCTATAAATGCATTCAAAAACTGTTTCCATTGTACTACAGCCCTGTAGTTCAGCAGGCACAGTAAAAATGGTCTTCTGGAATTAAATTAAAGAGCCTGAATAGATGACAGGTGAAAAGAGACAAAGACATGAAGATAATGCATAACTGATTGCACTGATAATATGATATTTTTAATGTAGTGATCAAATATCTAAAATGTATTTCCTCAAGTAGTCAAGATACAAATTAAATTGCAACAGTGAATTACTGCACTTCCCACAGAGGGAGATGAATTACCGACCTTCCAAACGATACTCATTCAGTGTATTAATTCTGAACATAAAAACACCATTTAAAAAAAAATCAAGTCAAAATCATTCTCGACTCAGTTTTAAGAGGAGATTTTATAGTCCATTAATCTTGGATACCAAAGGACCAAAATAACAAGGCGCTGAAACAAACTGAGAGATCTGCCCTGCATGTCTAGGGCCACGACAGTAGCAAAAACTGGTCACACAGAGAAAAACCAGTCAAACAACTGTGATATAGAATCATAGAATATGTTGGGTTGGAAAAGACTTTTGAAGGTCATCTAGTCCAAGCCCCCCGCAGTGAGCAGGGACATCTTTAACTGGATCAGGTTGCTCAGAGCCTCATCAAGCTTGACCTTGAATGTCTCCAGGGATGGAGCCTCCAGCACCTCTCTGGGCAGCCTGTGCCAGTGTTTCACCACCCTCATAGTAAAGAACTTCTTCCTAATGTCTAATCTGAATCTGCCCTGCTCTAGTTTAAAACCATTGCCCCTTGTCCTGTCACTACACACCCTTGGGAATAGCCCCTCCCCAGCTTTCCTGTAGGCCCTCATCAGGTATCAGAGCCTGGAAACACTATCCATGCTTAACCAGCAGGCAATCATGCTACAGATTCTTCTTTATTTTCAACCTAGCCATAAAAAAAATTGATTTTGCAGAACATCCTTCCACCTTGTTGAATCCAGGAATGGAGCAGAAGTTCCAGCTGTTCCCTCAAGAACTGATCTAGTCGAGAGGTGGTGTCCCTGGCGACAGGGAGGCTGGATTAAAATGATCTCTAAGGTCCCTTCCAGCTTAGGCCATTCTATGATTCTATGAACCTCCTGCGACTGCAAAGGCCACACAGCAATCTGCAAGTTATTCACAGTTATGGTGAGAACGTCTCAGGAGGACAGTGCAGAGCTAAGGTAAAGGAGTTCTGATAGCTTAATTGCTGAAAATCAAATTAAAAATTAAGCATAAAATAGGGTATTTGTTGCTTGTTTAGATTTTTTATGCTTTGTGCTGTATACCCTCTACAACTGTTTAATTATTACCATAATATCCCTACTATTATAATCTCCACTGCAGAAAAAGAAATCTAAAAAGCAAAAAAAAAATACGATTTAATTTCCTTGGAAATCATCTCCTCCTAAATTTCTTTACTCTGCACATACATTTAAGGACTGCAAACAAGAAGAGCCTAAAACCCAGACATTTAATAAGATTATAAAATTGTATCAGTTAGGTTACTGAAATGACAATTTATTTCTAAGAAACACAAGATGACTTTGCAAGGAAGATTTCTGAGCTTTCTATAAAAGAATGTTCTAATCTGACAGTCCCAAAGGCTGTGCTACTAAACAGCAAACTTCCTCACAACTCCGCAATAATCAAAACCACTTTGCAGATTTGGGTAACTGTTTGTGAAGTCAATACCCTAACAAAAACAAGGACTGATACCAAAGTAGATGCTGAAGTCAAAAAGTTACATAAACTGACGGGTTTTTAATTATGTTTATGAAATATACATATTATATATTTATTTATATTTCTAATATAATTTAATTATATATTATGTCTACTTTTTTAAAATATATGCATGTGTATTTGTATCTGCACAAGAAAATGCAAAAGTAAAGCTGACGCTCAGGGGTCTTGTCTACTGACAAAAAACATCTGAACAGGGACGTGAGAGTTTTTAAGCTAAAGACAAATAATTCTCTCTAAAAAAATCTCCTAAGCTGATGCTGTGAGTTAGCTCAAACACTCAGTCAGCTCCTACCGCAGTCTGGAAATGGAGTTATGTATATACACATGCCGACATCAGTGAATGAGTTTTCAATGCAAATTGTCTTGAATTTTGCCTCTTATACTTCTTAAAATTGCTAACCAATATGCATACATGCTAATGAGCCACACTCGCAGAGGACGGTTGATCTTTGCTACACAACCACACTGCAAAGAAGTGTTATTGCAGCGTGGCCTGTGGCACCATTGTGCAGCTGACTGTGAACCACCTTCCCAAAAAAAAGGTCACGGTGCAAGGGACAAGGCTGCTCTGCTACAGTAAAGGCCATTGTCAAGGTACTAGTAGCCCTCATTACCAGAAGAGCAGCACTGCTTTCAAAACTCAGTACAACTGCTGTACAAAGTGCAATACCAGAGAAGAGCAACAAAGCTGGTGAGGGGTCTAGAGAACAAGTCTTATGAGGAGCGGCTAAGGGATTGTTTAGTCTGGAGAAGAGGAGCCTGAGAGACCACCTCACTGCTCTCTACAACTACTTGAAAGGAGGTTGTAGTGAGGTGGATGTTGGTCTCTTCTCCTAAGTTACTAGCGATAGGACAAAAGGAAATGGCCTCAAGTTGTACCAGGGGAAGTTTAGATTGGGAATTAGGAAAAATTTCTTTACTGAAAGAGTGGTGAAGCGTTAGAACCAGCTGCCCAGGGAAGTCATGGAGTCACCATATCCCTGGAGGTGTTCAAAAAACGTGCAGATGTGGCACTTTGAGACATGGTTTAGTGGTCATGGTAGCGTTGGATTGACGGGTGGACTAGATTATCTTAGAAGTCTTTTCCAACCTTAATGATTTTATGATTCTATTCTACCACCCAGGGAGACCGTCTATATTGTAACAGTTCCAGAAGATAAAGTGGGTGCTCAAAGTGCTGGCTGCAGCATTGCCCAAAGCTCTAACAGCTTAGGAGAATCTGTTTGGTGGCACCACTACCAAGCTGAATTTGATGAGGGAACAGTTGGGTTCTGACCCAGGAACTGCCCAGAGCAAGGTATAGGGAGGACATAGCCAGAGAACAGCCTTGCTGAGCTGCCATGACATACCATTTTTAACCCAAAAGCAGCATCAGAAGGGCCCACGCTTGCAGTCAGTCTGCCATTTGATTCACTATCTTATACACTAAAATCCCAGTGCATATGTGTTCAGAGCTGCAATATCCAGTCACAACTCAGCAGTCATGGTTAGTCCAGCTTTACAGGACCTTTAAAGTTTTGGTTTTTAACCTCAGTAATAAACTCTTCGTTGGAATTTAGTTTTGATTGTAACAGTCTTCCATTAGAAGGCTGATACCTGTTGCGATATTGCTACAATGGATCTCCATTCTTCCCTCAAAACACTCTTCCCAGCTCCTTACAATTACTACCTAGACCCTTGGAAGGTAGTACCTTAGACTTATGAAAAGGCTAGATATTGGAATGGAGACTGCATCACTTAGAACAGAACTATGTATGTCCATACTGTATAAAATCTGGGGTAGTTTCAGCCTCCAAAGCAGCAGAGTACAGGGAATCGGGACAAACTAAGACCTTTTTCTTCTCATCGGAACTAGGGGAGCGAGTGTGGAACCTGATCTAGTGAAAGATGTCCCTGCTCACTGCAGGGGGTTTGGACTAGATGACTTTAGAGGCCCCTTCCATCCCAAAACATTCTTCTCACCTCTGTCCGACCAAAGTCCCGAGCCTTCTGACCGCCTGGCGATGACTCAGAGTAGGAATCAAATAGTGCGCAGTCACACACGGGCTTCAAAGAAGCTGCAAAGGAAAGAAAGAAAAGAAAGAAAAAGAGACAAGTCAAGTCTTTTGTTAATATATGCTTCTTAAAATCCTGTTCCAGTATAATTTTGCCTTTCATTTCCACATATCAGAACTGACCTATAAAGTCACTGGTGGCAAACACCACGAAGAAAATCTTTGTCTATTATCTTGAATAAGTCAATGTCACAAAAAGGATAGCATTCATAATTTCTGTTGTAGAAATAATTGTGAGATTTGAGGGAAGTGGTTCTTAGTAAACATGAACTGCCAAACAACACCTGTTTATTTGCATTTTTCCTCCTCAGAGTATCAACTTAGTTGGCCTTACAGTTTATATCTTGCTGTCTTAGGAATGTTAAAGGTATTTACCAAACCTTCAACTCCCACTTCTGACATTTTTCAATACTGAAAAGTACAGCAGAATCTACATTATACACTAAAATTGAAGGCCAGCAAGAATCAAGGACACTAAGCACAGTAGATGCTGCAGTATATACCATCTTTAAACTAAACAGCACTGAGAGCAAAGAGGGAGGGAGGGAGGGAGGGACAGATGGACGGACTTAGGGAGAAAGGAAAAAATATCTACTCTAACTTCTTACAGGAATATTCACAGGAGTCTTATTTCTATTCCCCAAGTCCTGCTGATCTCACTCTGGGATTACTTCCTCTGAGATGAATTTGTCCTAACAGCTGGAAAATAGCTTTGCTTGAATGTCGATATATTGAAAAGCAGGATAACCAGTTCTCACACCAAATTTCTAATATCTGGCTAGCATCTAGTTTTTCCTGAATAAATTAAGCTCTTATAAATCTATCTTATTTTATAATACAATGGGTTACACACAGGGTAAATAGCTTTACATATTCTGTAAATTAGTTTTAATAAAAAAATTCAGAAAAGAAAGTGGTGGATCAAATTGCCAACGGAGCCATGCCAGGACAGTATGCTTGGACCTATGCTTGTAGTTTATAGTGAAAGTGTCAAACCTCAGATCAGGACAACAAGTCATAAAACTAGCAAGATTAATTCATTCTTAAATGCTCTGTCTTACACTACATTCCAAGTCAATTTATTTGAAGATAATCTTATTAAAATTCTTATTAGGTGAAAATACTTAATCTGAACCAAATTCTGCCTCATTCTGACACAAATACAACAGCCTAATGGAAAACTGTTCATCAGATTCTTTGTTAGGAAAAAAAATTAATAAAATTAAATAAAAATCTAAGTTTTACAGAAATCAAATTCTGAAAACATTAAAACAAAGTTTCTGTTGAAAATTTCTCTTGACATTTCAGATAAGTGTATGAGGCACTTGCTGACTTATTAATGCTTTAACTTCAGAAGTTGATACAATCTGGGCTCTATGTATTCTTGTGATTCATGGTATTACTGAGACATTCTGGTTTTTACTGAAAGTCTTTTGAAAGGCACATTTCTGAAACCTGACAAGGTAGCAGAACCAACACTAGACATTTTCAGACCCTCAAACTAGTAAGAATTAGCATATTAGCAGAGGTATTTAGAGTGCCCACAACAATTAGTCCTTTCACCTCTCCCACGCAGACCTGCTCGGAATGCTTGCTTGTGCGTTAACATCAGGAAACAATAATTATCTAAGAATATGGTAAAGAACCCAGTGCCACAAGGGTCAAATTAGGGAAAAAGAGGACTCCCAAGGAGGAACCACAGCTTAACATGCTCTTCCTCCCATTCACATATCGATTCCCTACTACTAAAGATAGCCACTTCCCATTGCAGTTTTTCCCAGAAAGGCTTAACGCAAAGACGCACCAAGAAGAGCCTGTGTAGAGGAGCTTACAAGCTCATTTATCACGAGAACAGGCTTGAGCAGTGAACAAAGTGGTGGTCCTGGAGGGAAAAGGGCAGCTGTAATTATGGCAAGGGAATATAATTAGAGAGACTAAAAGCGATGAGGACTTGGAAGTGCAAGTTTTACAGGAGCTCCTTGCTTTGGATAGGAAGATAGTGGATTATAAGGAACATGACTGCACCAAGAATTCCTTCACAAATCTGATACAGGGTGAACATTTAATTTTCCTAACTGCAGCTTGATTTGCTCTTTTCCTGTCTTTTAATATATTCAGTGTCATCAAATTTAATGGAGATTTTATTATGTCTTAAATATTATCCCTTAGCACTGTAATTATCATCTGTGATTAATCCTCCCTGCCCTAGAAAGTCATGCACGTTTTTTAGATGGAACAGTATATATTTCAATGTTAATTTATAATTAAAAGAGACATAACTGAAGAGAAAAAAATGAAAGGGCAGGTCTCTCACTGCACATTGTTACTGAGGTATGTTATATTTTGGACTAATTCATCCTTGTGCTACATAAACTCTTGTAATCCTCCCATCATTACTGCAAATTACTTACAGAAGAATTGGTGGATTACATAAAATCAGTTACAAAAAAAAAAAGAAAAATCAATCTTTGATATAACCAGTAACTGCACCTAACAAAATGCATAAAATGTATTAGCATAATAATTTCTAATGCAGTTTAGCATTATTTGCAACACATCTTCAAAACAGGTACTGACAGGAAATATCACCAAAAGAGTTAAAAGCCACATAAATCTTGTTGGATTATCTTTGCTACAGGTAAACATCTGCCACTTTGGCTGAAATGACACCTGAAGCACACTGGAGCAAAGAGGCACACAACTGCTACACTTTGCATCGCTATTTTGTGCTTTTATCCTCCTCTTCTTCAGCAATCGCCTTTTAAGCACAATTAAGAAGGCATGTGTTGAAAAGCAACTAGAGAACCATTAGGCAGCGTTGGACCCCGTCCTACCTGCAGGATGGAAAATAAAACCCGTTTTACTCACACGCTGGGTTCCTGAGATGCCTCCAGGAGCACGACGTGCCGCAGGGACATTACCTGCTTGAAGGTACTCAGGCAGCAGCGTCTCCGGCAGCGTCTCCGGCAGCTGGTAACCGTTCTTCCTCGCAACCACGAGGTGGAAAGCAGCACAAAACTCGGGGAGTGTCAGCGCCCCGTCGCAATCCACATCGCTCAGCTCCCTGCGGGTACGACAGGCACACGTTTTTCCAAGCCATGACCTCAGGGAAACACACGTGTGCAATCACGGGGGAGACGGAAATGCAACTTTGAGGCGGGATATTTTAACACAAGACAAGCGCTGCTCTCATTTGTGATCAATCTTAACTTGTAGATTTGTTTTGGGGAAGATCAAGCAAGCTAATTTTCCAACTTTCGCTTTTTCCTTTTTAAATATAGGACACTTTTTCATTATGCATCATATTATACAATATGATGGTATGTGTATATTATAACACAAAATTAATATCCTGTACTTCCAAGGGTGAAATCAGCTTTCCAGTGGTTGGAAGCATTTTTAGCCAATCCATACAGGATCTTAAAGCAGTTCAGGCAAAAAAAGTCAAAAATGGGCTTCAGCAATGGTTACTTAGCACCATTGCCTAGTGTCAAGAAAAGAGCTAAATTAACACTTGACATGTTTAAATGTTATTGTCAGCTTCTCACTAAAGAAGTTTGCTTCTCCAGTACTAAAATTAGACTTCAGAAATTCAAGAATTTGATTTCATAAGGTAAGTCTTTGCAAGAATTGTGTAATTTTTTTTCTAATGAGCACATGGACTAAACCAAATAAACACAGAACTCCTTACTCCTTGAAAGTAATGACTATTTTCCAAGCTGTTGAGGTTATAGTGACAAAGACTGAAACATCCTGTGTGTTTAACACAGCAACACAACCTGACAGATCTCACAAAACTATAATTACCTACTAGAAAAGAAAAATTTTCTTTGACTTTTACTAAGAAAACAACTTGTGTCAGCAATAGAAATACAAGGTGTTTTATTAACATATTGGGTTAATCCATTCTTCTTAAGTAATCTTAAATTCCAATATTCACTTCCACCAACACCACATTTCTTTAGAGGTTTTTTATTATTATTATTTTCACAACTGACAATCCTCTCTGAAAAGATTCTAGAAATATTCTTTGACCCCAACAGATGTTTAGGCTCTTGCAAGCTTTTCTTCTCATCTCTTTCCATAAACGCATATATAAAAGTAAAACCTCTATCAGTATTTCTGATCAAAATTTAAAACTGTTTGTTCTTCCTATCAGAGATGCAAGGATGACACTGAATTACAAAGCACCATGTTGTTTATGAAAATATAAAAGAAACCTTGTCAAATTCTATCATGTACTGTTCTATGTGCAATCATTTCTAAATAAGCTCATTAAAAGTAAGCATACTGGTTCATTAGAAAAGCACTGATGAATTATGTAGTTCAACTTACTAAAAATTAGGCATTAATTAGGCCTCCTCTGACAAAACACAACCAGAAACATAAAGCCAACAACACATTTAAAACATTCCAGAGGTGCTTCTCTGCTGTTTCTTTTCATGAAAAATGTCAGTTTGTCAAGCTAATGATGCTGCTTACAACATGCTTAAGACCAGCTCTCAGTTAAATTGCTGTTCAAATCTTCCCAGTCCTGCTGAGCAGGCGAACATCTCTCCAGAAAACAAGCATGTCAGGAAGATCAGTGAGCACCCTGCTGCTCGGGCCTGAAAGTGATTCTGCAGATACGAGCAATAACTATAAATGAAGACACTTTTCAAAATTTAAAAGAACTCTTGAATTAAGCATCTTTTTTAAAAAAAAAAAAGAATAAAAAAAAATATACTTATCCCCAACACTCTCACAGTACTTACCAGATGTGAGAAAGCTCTAGGATGGGCAGCTTTGATTTTGTGAAGAAATTCTTTGCCACGGAACCTGTTGGGAAACCGTGCCTTATCAACCACTGGAAAATAATTCTCCGATTATTTACCTTTGACCAGTGCTGCCGCACCAGAACCAGATGGTTACTTTACATCTGATAGACGCTCAGTTTAACTGGACATAAACATAGCTGCTTGATCATTTGTCTCTTGCTGAATAACTGACAGAGAGAGCTCTTTATCTCGTTTCCCCATTCCCACCATATGGGAAAAATAGAGTACAAAACGCTTTAGTACTAGTGATTCCAACCAGCACAATCAGTATGTCACCAGTGATGAAATAACAGACACAAAACAGCTCTGCTTCACCCAGAAGCCACATGTGTGGCAGTACCGTGCAGTAGCATCGCCACTGCTCTCCCAATATGCTGCTTCAGCCATGACTTTTCCCTGCAGAGGCTCAGAGTTTACGAAATTTTATAAATTTTATGTTGCAGACACCCTCACTCATCCTGCCACACCAGCCCTTCTCATCCCTTCTTCACCATCTCACATGCACAGGCTGTTGGGGGTACCTTGGAAGCCCTTCCTGCACATAGGCTTACAAAAGGTAAGGCACCATAAAGCACAGACTTCTAGGTCTATATTCCTCTTCCCCTTGGACATTCAGGTTAGAGCACCCACTGCAGTGCTTCAGAAAATCTATCACTAGCGCAGGGCCAAGACTCACCGAGCACACCATGTCCTCCCCAATACCAGATGCCAAGAGAGGAGTTTGTCACCATGACAAAGCCATGTAATAATAACGTAGCTCCAAACCACTTCTTGTGACCACCTGTGATTCAGTAGCTTTATGAACCAAGAATAGCACTTCAAGATTCAATAATTTCTGACAGAATTTTCAAATCACAGATTTCTCAAGTAACTTCTTGAACGCGGACAAACCTCCAGCATTTGTACCACACTGCAGCAAGGATTTCTACAGCTTAATTTTCTTAGGATGTTGTAGAAACTTAAAGTTTATCATTTACAAACAGCAATTCTGAATGTGCATGTACACATGCATACACAGTTTGACATACGTAAGTCTGTGAGGAAACAGAGTGTTGTTTAACAACCATTTTCTCTTTCGAGCAAATTATATGAACTAGACTTAAGTGAGGCAAAGAAGTGATAAAGCAGTAATTTCTATCAGCAGCAGATAATTTATTTAAACTTCTGGCTGGATCCAAGCCTTCTGAACCCCAGTAAAACAGTAGAGCTCAGTAGAACTGCCTCAATTTAAAATCTGTGACATCTTCCTCGCCTTGTCTGTACCCGCAGCGACTCATCCCACGAGCAGCCTGATCCTCCTATTGAGGATGGAAACGCAATCTCAACACACTGTTAACAATACTTTTACCACGTGTGTGCTCTCTAGGATTTGCTTTTAACCACCTAAAGGTCAAAATCTCAGCTCCTCAGAGCCATAAATACTCAGGCTTGACCACACAGGACATGTTCATCACTTGAATTTCCTTCCCTTTCATTACATGGACACTACCACATTTCTGCTGGGAAAGTAAGAGCAACCCTAAGGGGTTTTTCAGCAAAATATACACTGCAGGTGTGATCTACAAATGTAGAGGATCAAATATAGAGAGCTCATTTTAGTTTTTACTGAATTGCCAACATTTCTCCTTTAGATATAATTATATTATATTTAGATATAATTATCTTTCTAAAATCAGGGTATTTACGAAAAAACATAATGGCCACAGTATTGGTTTACTCTGCCAGTTGTCTGCCTTTAAAAAGAAAACACAATTGGTTCTTTCTCTTAAACACTCTAAAGAGAAAAAAATTAATTAATTTATCAACTTAACACCTCTCATCTCTCAGCCTGCTCCCCCCAACTTGACACACACACAGTGTTTGGTAAAAATTACCTGACACAAAAGAGTTCAGGTCAGGCTGCAGGGACTTGAACTGGTTGATGTAGTAGTCTCGCTGCTCCTCCGTTATCCTCCAAGGGTCGTCCGAGTAGTGGGTGCTGCTCTCCTGCTGCTCCCTCTCCGCTGAAAGAGACTGAAGGAAGAGATGCTGACATCACCTGCCTGAAGGGCACTGGGAACCTCAAAACAGATTCACTCTCTTCTATTAGTAGACACATATTTTTACAAGATGAGAAGCAGAAACAGCCACACAGATTATCACAGATTCATAGAATGGTTCAGGTTGGAAGGGACCTTGGAGATCACCCAGTTCCAACTCCCCTGCCATGGGCAAGGACACTTCCCACTAGACCAGGTTGCTCAGAGCCCCATCCAGCCTGGCCTTGGACACTGCCAGGAATGGGGCTTCCACAGCTTCTCTGGGCAACCTGTTCCAGTGTCTCACTACGCTTGTAGTGAAGAATTGCTTCCTAATCTCTTATCTAAATCCTACCCTGCTCTAATTTAAAACCATTGTCTCCAATTCCTACACTCCCTGACAAAGAGTCCCTCCCCATCTTTCTTATAGGTTCCTTTCAGGTACTGGAAGGCTGCTATAAGGTCTCCCTGGAGCCTTCTTTTCTCCAGGATGAACAACCCCAACTCTCTCAGCCTCTCACCTCTTCTACGAGGTGCTCCAGCCCCCTGATCACCTTTTTGGCCCTCCTCTGGACCTGCTCCAACAGGTCCATGTCCTTCTTGTGTTGGGGGCTCCAGAGCTGGATGCAGTACTCCATTACCATCCCGCTAATTATGTGCAAAAGTTGAGGCTAATAATAATTATATCTACCCAGGCAATTAAAGGAAGTTTTACATGACTATAGCTAAAAGAAAAAGGAAACCTTACTGCTGCTAACCACAAAAGGGAAAGTCCAACTCATGGTTTATTACCTCTAGGTTCATTTTGGGGGTTAATTTTTGCTGTCATGCACTATAACCCTGAACTGCACAATGTACACCTGAAATGGATGGAACCAGTAAAGGACCCAAAACTGCATTTATGCAGCATGAAGCATGCAAATTCAGCTTTGCTAACAAACTGTGTCTTTAGCCTAGGAGTGGTGCTGTAACTATGGAGCTATTCTGCTTCTGGACCACCCGCTTACCCAGATAACTTGGCACACATTACGCTGAGACAAGGAGACGTGCAAACAGCTAGAGACCTCCTCAACCTTCTGTCGCTTCCCACAGTTTAAGTGAAAATCCTATTTTAGGTAAAAGAATATTCTGGAGAAGGATATTTTATCCATTTCTGGTTTTTCTTTCTGATTGGCTTGTTTAAGGGAGGTTGGCTGGTGGTGTCTCCAAGAGGGCTGCCAGTAAAATCAGTGCCTTTGTTAAACTGGAATGACTTAGTATTCAAGATTTAAGCCTGGATGACAACACTCTTAAAGAAGGAGGGCAAGAATGAACAATAATCAGGCTCCAAAGCAGCTCTGCAACCCTTTCTGTGACAGACCTATCAATTTCCTAAGAATCAAATGCAAAACACTGGTTCGGAAAGGCATCAAAAGTTCCCTGAAACAGGCAATGTTGCAAAGCTCTAAATTAATTTTCATTTCAAAGTGCTACACAAATGCACCCAATTTCAATTCATGTTAGCATAAATTACATGACACTACTGCAAAACTTTTGCTGAAGCTCAGGTGACATTTTGTCATGGGCAGGGAGTGCGAAGCACTTGGGAAAACCAGGGAGTCTCTGAGTCCGTCTTACTTAGGAAAAGCTCTCCCTTAGGACAGTTTTGTGCTTCCACAGGGCAAACTACCTGTTTGCACAGTCAGTGCACAGCAGGCATACTGGAACACTGGAAAGATCTGCTTTTGCAAAACAGCAGGAAAACACAGGAATTATCTCATAAAAGCAAACAAGTAGTCAGAAATTCATTTATTCTGTTTGAGATGTGATTTAACCAACTGCAGTGAAAAAACAGAATATGCAGAATATTAGGCTATGAATTTTGTGCATGTGTTACAGACGGCATTCTAAATCAAGCAGGAATTTCTGTGAAAACTCATCTATTTTAAATGAAAACATTTTACTTTTGCTAGGAAAACATTTTTTTATTTATTTTCAAACTGAAGATTCTCAGTCTAGCTTTCCTATCTATGCTATTTGGTGTTTCTCATTCTACTTAGCTTCAGAAATTTAATTAATTGGTTATTTATTTTCATTTCTCCTTTCCATCAGCTTTGAGGTTTTTTCATATACTAATAAAAATATGCTTCAGCCTCTAGCCTAAAAACACCATGGAGGACCTCTAGCCTAAAAACAAACACCATGGAGGACACTTCTTCTAAAGGGAGAATTCTTCTGCTTTTTTTTAATTATAATGTTAGATTTCTCTATGCTTTATTAGTAGTTCTACTAAAGAAAAAAAATGCAATTCATTACCTGATTAAGACTTGAACATGCGAGTGCAGGTTTGGCTCCATAATTCCCTGATGATGGCCCATCTTGCTGGTGAGTAGAGTGTCTGACTTCGTAAGGAGCTACAGACATTTAAAATAAAGTGCATATAAATGACAGGATAATCAAAAAGACTCTGCTGGGCTAAGGAAAATAATTAAATACCACAAGGTCAAGAATCTAGCTTGTGAACCTCCTATCACAGTGTCAAAGTCCATTTTGTCTTGTGCAACAAAATTCCAGTCACACATTTGTCTTTCATTTGACATCATTCTTCTTCAGACATTACTGATAGAAACTGTTGGTTATACATTACCAGAAACCATTGTTCATCATGTCAAAACATGTATTTATATAGCCTGTTTATATATTTATACATTTTATACACTTATAGCCACATACAGCATGAGAATGCACTACAAGTAAGAAGAAGTAATTCAACTGAACTGCAAAAAAATATGATTTAACAATGCTATCAAACAGCAAATCACTAATTTTCACTATACTCTTCTTCCCCCTCCTTAACTTTTGTTGAAAATCAAAAGTGGAGGTGACTCACCACTTCGCATTATTTGGAGTAAAGTTAGTAAAGAAAAGTAGTAATTACTTCTTCTTTTGCTGAAATAAGTTACTTATATTCCACCGCAGCAAATATAGTAAGCAGTGACACAAGAGCACATTTAAGAACAATGTTCTAAAAATAGGTCAAGCATGCAAACACAAAGGCAACTCACTTGCAAACTCTGTAAGAGTTGAAAACTTCTGCTGCCAACCTATTTAAAACATACCACTATAAAGACAGTCTGCATTAGATAGGCAGAACTCAAAAGACTCTTGATGAGAAGCGTGACAAAGAAATCTTAAAAATTTTGAGCTTGGGAACACCTTAAAAGTTATACCCCTAACCCCCTTGCTTTCCTAAGTGCTCTCATCCTGTATTGACATCTATTTTTATTCCTGAGCAAGTAGCTTCTAATTTCAGAAAAAGAATGGGGGAAGAAAGTCAGGAAACATACAGACACCCTTGGAGAGGAGAGTTAGGCACAAGGCCACACTGCTACCAAGAAAAACTTTCAAATATATCAAGAAAAAAATATAGAGACATGGTTGTGGTGTGAAGGGCTGCCCTTGAAGACACACCGTCCACATTCAGACTCAGACTTGTGCTACAGAAGAGCCCAAACATGCTGTGGCCCCTCCTACACATACACCAATGTGGTGGCTTTCAGACCCACCCTTTCGAGTGTTCTTCAGAAAACTGGAAAGGTTCTAATATTAAAGGCCAGGAAGGACCAGTAGGTCACGTATCTTAGCACTTGGTACAGCATGGATAATAAAATGTTACTGCCACTGAGAACACCTCCAGTGAGATTAAAATAGGAGAGATTCTCTTTCTGAAAAACAGCCATAGTGTTCCATACGTCTAGTATTTTATCATCTTAAGAAATCAAGCAGCTGAATAATTAATTTCAGAAGAAGTTAACAGCTGGATTGGACACTGCTGCGTCTACTCACTTTGCAAAGCTGCTGACTCTGTAAGAAATTTCACTGATTCAGGGAAACCAAATTTAGAGGGGAAAAAAAAAAAGAAAATCAACACGCAAAATATCCCCTCCCTTCCCACCACAGCACTGACAGATCTGGGACAGAGTCCCAGAAAACAGCAGAGTGCCTGACAGGTAACCTGGTCAGCTGTGTCTGATGGTCACCTCCTGCCCAGCTCTTCAAGGTGTGGGCTACCTGCCACAAGTCTTCCTCACCAGAGCAGAACACATGTCATACCAGAAGAGAACCTTGCTAGTGTTGCTTATTTCAGAAGTTACTATTTTAGTCAGTTATGCCAAGGGTGGGGTGAGGAAAAACCCCATCTCTGAAGAAACAGTAGTTTACCTAACCTGCAAATGAATGTCCATGACTCAGTACTGGTACAATTTTCATATCAAGGCCACTCAATAGTGTTGAACACATTCTTATCACGGCCGTACTAAGTTTCAAAATGCTGTAATAGCTCTGTTTCTTCACTCATTTTTAAACAAGGACAACAGCTACAAGACTAGCGTGCTCCACTCCTTGCTCACTGCAAACACACTGACAAAGAGCTGGAGGTGTGATGAAGGGATGGGACACACCAGTGCCTACAGTTGGACACCAGATGTTGCCATTAGAAGAGCGCAGGCAACTCACTGTTTACAGGAGCTTGTAAAGCCTTAGTAATACTGGCTTCTGCCCCACTACCCTTTTACTAAAATCAGACTGGTTTGCCACCTACTGTAATGGCAGTGAGATCAAGGACAGAGAATCTATGTACTGCCTTATTTTTGTCTGTTTTGCCCAAGTGACATTGTAACTGTTTTTATATTCATATCCTATTGTTACTTCCGTTACAAAACCAGAGAGATTATCCTTTCCTGCAGAGAAAGGTGCACTGCTAATCTGAAAACTAATATAGAGGCTACTGAAACCAAGAGCGGGCTTTTCTTCCCCTCTAATGAAACTAAAAGCATCATGTGCTCTGAAAATACTCAGATACACTCTGTCATTGGGATAGATTGCACACAGTTTTGTCAGAGATTAGGTATTAGCATTGACCTGTGAGTAGTGACACATAAATCTAACTAATTTACTAGAAAGCAAACAGGATTGAACAGTCAAAAATAAAATTATATTATTGAATAATTTTCTAAAAAACAGGTCTAATTAAATGTTAAAATCATTAGGTTGATTGGTAATTGCATTTGAAATTCAGACACTTCTGAGAAGGAAAAAAAAACCACAATGTACAAAATGCATTTTTTATCCTACCTCCATGTTGCTGCTCCAGCCCACTTCTCGATTTACTGTATCCATAACTTAAGGGTATTCTCTGATAAGTAGATGGAGAAGCAGGAGGTGAACAGATTGGAGACATTGGTGGAGACTTGGGTTCCTATTTCAGAAACACACCAACATAAAGTGTTGTCAATTCTGAGACAACAGCAAACAACCAAGGAATCCTGCATGGCACTCCGAATGCGTACAACATGATGGACAAAGGAAATGCAAATGCTGTAGTTCGCTGAGGCCTTTTATTTCCAACAGAAGGCTCCTTTAAAACCAAAAGTTGGTAAAGACAGAATTTGGTATTGAGTCCTCTACAGGTAAAGCATGGCAATGTCATAGTAAAGCTTTACAACAAACAGCTTGAAGTATTCTACTTCCAAAAGATGTCTGAAGAAGCATATGCAGAATGCTTAATTTGAGTGGGTATCTTTAAATTTACGTAACACATTTAGATATGGTGAGTGCATTCTTTGTGGGAGAGCTTTTCTGTATAAAATACTTAAGAAAAAAAAAAAATCTCCAAATTGGTATTTTAAGCACCTTGTGGATTTGTAGGTATTACTGAGTATCTTATCTGACAGCATTCTCTTTACCTTGACTTACAGATTGTTTAAGATCCAGTAACTGTTTACTGTGTAAAAGGGAAAATATAACACAACATAGATAACCTAGATGGAGTCAGGGGTTTGAGAGCATTGTTCTCCTTCAGTGCCAGTACATACAGGCAGAGAGGCATACATGCTCTTCTTCCTCATCCTCTTATTCCACCCATGCACCTTGTCATCAGCTCATTCACAAAGCCAGAGTTACTCACACCAATGCTCCATGTGATAAATGTGTGTATACGCTTCGGGAAGATAAAGCGCCTGTCACTGGGTATTTACAACGTAACCTGATACAGTACTGGAGAAGGTGTCAGCCTGAGGAAAATTATGAAAATAAAGTTCGTGTTGTAAAGCTGCTTGTATCTGAATAAGTGCTCTCAACTATCCTAAATACAGGTAATACAAATATCCTTTACGCAGTTTCATTATACTGGCAACTCAGAACAACGGATACTGGGACAATGTTTCACTGAGGACAAAAGAAAAAGCAGATTTCTTGTCTACTACTCCTGGGGTAGATCAGAATGGAAGAAAACCCAGAGGCCTTATCCTACCCAGAAATAGTGGCTTGTGATTCAACACTTCTTCTCCATTTGAGTATTTCTTTAGTGACTAAGGATCACACTGGCCATGAGAAACGACTCGTTTTCCTGTTCTGTTTCAGAAACATATTTCTATTTGCTGCTCCTGCCCTGGTCCTCTCCAATAAACATTGCCGGACTAAGTAGGAAGAAAATGCTGAAAACTTCCGCGGAATACGACAGGGCTGACAGCTTTATACAAGCTCATATAGAGAAATTCCCTTCAAGGATGCAACCAGAATGCCTTAAAATTGGAATACAGCCTCGATGGGGACTATTTGCATGACAGGAGATCATCTCCTGTCTAATTATGCAAAACTGAGTAAGCCCACTTGAGTGTAATCACTTACAGTACTGGACCCAAAAGGAGGATGCATAATGACATACTGGCCTGAAGGAGATGAGCCTGTTACCTGTTTGTCCCCTTCATCTGTTCTTTTGTAGGAATTTTTTTCCAAAGTTCCATGTGGAACCTGAAATTTAACTCCATGGAGTTCTGCTGGAGTCCCGTAACGTACTTCACTGTCATTTTTCAGCGCCATAAACCGTGGCAGAGGCAATTCTGCATTAAAAGAGAGAAAAAATCAGTTGAGACCAGAGAACATTAAAAGTATTTTAAGTAGTATCATCTTGTTAAACCAATGAAAAGTTTATCTATAAAAGCATACTATTTATACTTTGTAGCATTTATAAGTGTGGAACTCCTGTGATTATTTTATTTCTTAATAAAAACATGAATATTACACAAAGCTATATTCATTAGCTTTATATATAATCTCTCCAAGCAAAGAGAAAGAAATAAGCTTTGTGGCACATTATTAAAGCAAGCAGCAAATTCATTTCCTGCCTTCAGAACATCGTCTGTAACAAAAAGAATAGTTTCCCACAGAAACTGTGGGAATAATGAATTAAACAGTCAGGATCACAGTATCCTCAACACTGCCATCATAAAAGGAACAAATTAAAAATGGTAGGGTTCAGAGATCACGTCAAGGCCCAGTGAGATGACTGTGTCAAAAGGTCCCATGTCACGTCTGCTCTGTAGAGGTTTAAGACAATTCAAAATTATTTTGAAGGAATATGATTTATTTTTGTGCACAGTCACCCTAAAACATCAATACAATTAAAATTAACAGAATGCTCAAAGCTGGGCAAAGCTGTACATCACCTCTGTAATCATTTACACTCACAGTTACTACACCAGGAACAAATCGGAGTTTGGTACATGTTACAGATCCCACTCTAAAGGCACTCATACATTTCAAGAGTCAATGTAATTAGCACTGGAAGCATTTCAGCAACAGCAAGCAAGCAGAATATCAATATAAGACCTGCAAGTACCCCTCTTCACTCAAATTTGTGCAATATTTGCAGATACTGGACATGTAAAACACACAGTAAATCTCAGTTCAGGTTTCTAATATAGTTTGTTGAGTTTTGTCAACTTAATCTTGTTGGGTTTTTTGAATTAACATATTTTAAAAAGGAGGGCACTGCAAGAGTGCACAAGCTGTCTGTAAAAAGAGATGACAGACAAATCCAACTGAACTGTGCCAGCTGCATCCAATCCCCTCTACTTGGTTAGAAACTCTGCATCGCAGCAGCTCAGCTCCCCCAGCTCTGCACATGCTTGCCAGCCCAGTTTCCCCGCCCGGGATGGGGTAGACCTGGTAACCCCCTCCCTGAGCCTTGTAACATAGAAGAATTTTATGTTTTGTTGCCCTTAGCACAGGCAGCACAACAAAAACTGCTCTGGGACCCCTGATCCAATTACGAGGCTATGGGTAGGTCCCTGCCTTTCCTACCTCCTCTCTGATCTCCGGATGCCTCCCTGCCTTAAGCAGGATGGTGGCAAGCATTCCTGCACAGAGCACAGCCTCACAGCAAGGTTCAAACACCTGCCTGGGATATGAGAACGAAGGGTTCAAACCTGTTCAGGCTGAAGCCCAGGTGAAAAGCCACGTGTTTTGAAGCCTGAACCCTGCTGAGGCAGAGCATGCATCACCAAGGCAAGAACATCAAGTTCCTTCCATTTAGTTGCTATCAATGTTTTGTAGCTAAAAGGGACCTGCTATCTTCAATGCTTGAGCGTGATGTGCCTCTTCAGAAGCACTTTTCTCCATTAAAAACAGTACATTCGGTATTACTGTCAACTCGTTGGGAAGAACAAAGCTGTTTTAAATTGCATTTAATATAAGTTTTCATACCTAATGCTTAGGAAGCATTACAGTTTTGTCACCATCACCCATTTATTTTAGATGGATTATCTGCTATAACAGATAAGTGTTGCAAGCTGCCCCACACAGGAGGACCCCCGATCTACCCACGTCCCCCACAACATACCTCCATCTAAAGCAGGTATCTGCTCCCCCTCTGGACAGTTGTCAAGAGGCTAAAACAGAGAAACGTAACCCCTGCACTGATCAGCTGTCATTCACGCCATTCCTTTGGTAAAATGCCTTATGCAAAGGGGGTTGTCATCTCAGCTTTGCCATACATATAATTCACTGCCATTTTCCACCAGTTACTTAGAGAATATAATGTTGCCTTCTACTCTTTCTACGCTCCTCAAAATACAATTGTTTCATAGACAAGTTAGAAGAAGAAGTTTACCACCACAGAGAGCTAACAAGCATTAAAGAAAGTGAAAAACAAGTGCATAGTGCTGCAAGCAAAATTTGCCACTTACCATTCTTAATGCTCTCAATCCGTACTGGGAACCCTGACTGTGCTGCTGCAATTAGCTTCAAAGCAATATAAAATTGAGCAGGACCAAAATAACCCACGCGCTTGGCTCCACAAACTTCTGTGATCTGAGAGAGAAAAGACACATTGTTGGTTAAATGCATTTCACTCTCCCAGGGAATGTAAACACCTCTGCATAAACAAAGTTCTTTGAAAACATAAAATCCTTGTTGTATTTAAAGCTTTCTATTAAGCATATCTGTTTCAACTCGGGATACTGCCATCTGATCACATTCCCCTTAATACATCAGAGATAGGTACTTAGTTGTTAAGCTTTTCAAAAGCATTGCTGGGTAACCCTGCCATCCCAAAACAACTTAGAAGTTTTCAGATTACACAGGATTTTAACAGCAGGTGAAATGATAATTTGTTAAGTACCCTGTCCAGCACAGCATTTTCACTGCAGAAGCTATGGTATTCACAGAAAATTGTATTTAAGATTAGCCCTTACAACAACAGTTCTGACAATTACTGTAACTGAATACAAACACAAGAAATAGCCCATCGCACCACTTGAGTTTTCTCTATGCAAAATTAACACAGTCTCAGCACTGAAGCTTAATTTCTATGTAGGCTTCACTGTTTGCTTCATTCAGCCACTTCTATGAAGCAAACAGCTCCACGTTCACACACTCAGACAACAGCTAAACAAACAACAGCTATCAGTAGGTTTTAAGCACAGGCGCCAATTCTCCTGTGCCTGGAGCTGCCATATGTTCGTTCACAAACAAACCTCAGCTGGGCTCCGAGGTTAGAACAAAACTCTATTTGCCTCATGTAAAGGGAAGCCCCAGATTGTTTTCCTGAAAATACACCTAGATTAGCAATGTCTCCTGGCCAGTGAGGTGCATGGCCTGTGTGCAGGATGATGGCAGAGCTGTGCTGGTTCTTCATGGGTAAGTGCTGCTCTCCAGAAAAGCCACATCCATGGATCACTCCTGAACTACAACATGACACAAACTATTCCAACATCACGTGTGTAAACAAACAGCACAAATTAATAATCTATTTTTGTTTCTACATGGATATAAACACACACACACAGAGTAGCAAAATGTCAGGTTAAACAACTGCTGCAAAAAATGTTTTGAATGATAATTCTTACTAATCAAAGACAATTATCTTTAAGCAAACTCTTTCTTCTCTGGATGTGGCTTCTGCTTTGACTGAATGAGCTCTGGCTTCCTTCTCTTCCTGAAAGTTTCAGCAATGCATGGCTTAATTCCTTAATCACAAGATGTCTCAAGCAGCTTTCTTTTACTGCTTGATGAAAAGGGAGATTGATTCTCTGCGCAAGGACAGTTTCAATTAACCAGTGGCATTTGCCATTGCCTTTCCTCTACACATCTTTTTTTCCATAGTCACTCTGGCCTTTTTCTTCTTTTTTATCCCTCCACCCCTGCTATTGTCACCCTTACTGTGGGGACACAGGGCACTTGGCATGTGCCTGAGAAGGAAGGTGCCGAATCACAATTAAAAACAAAAGCACGTTGGGAAAGGAGAAAAAGGTGGAAAGGAACTGCTTGGAGGAGAGGCTGCTGCCCCATCCAGGGCATGGGAAGGAGCCAAGTACGTCGCACCACTGCGGTGGATGGCACTATGGAGACCCCAGTGTTACAGAGGGCTTCCCTGCTGCCACAGGGAGCTGCACCATCCCCTGGGTGATCCCCACTGCACCCCTGGGTCCCCCCACAGCAGTCCACCAGGGTCCCGTGGCAGGGGCTGACACCACACATAGCAAGATGCCTGCCGTGCTGTGAGAGCAGTGCCTGTCTGTGGCCTGGGCAGTGCTGCCAGGACAGCTGATCACACTCCTGGCACTGTTCTGGGAGAACTGGGCAGAGTATCAGTACCATTTCTGAACTCTAAAGAAGCTTCCTTCCCCATGAAGGGAATGTTCCTCAGTCACTCAGTTCTGCGGGCCTACACCTCCCAATACTGCACGGCCCCTTCCCCACCAGCCGGCCCAGTTCTGCCTGACACAGGGGTGTGGAGCCTGGCCCACTGGGTTTGACCCAGGACGTGGAGAAGGCACCGTGGCCCAACCAGGTCCCCATGGGCATGACCACCCCAGCACACCAGAAGACCCTGACAACTCTGGGGACAACACTGCCACAGCAAGGGCAAGGGAAAACACCAGCTGCGGGGTTTCACACATGTCCCAGACATACAAATACAAAAACCTGGGCAACAACAGTTAGAGAATCACAGAATCATAAAATTGTTCAGGCTGGAAAAGACCTTTAAGGTCATCAAGTCCAACCATTAACCTAACACTGCCAAGCCCATCACTAAACCATGTCCCTAAGCACCACATCTACACGTCTTCTGAATACCTCCAGGGATGGTGACTCCACCCCTTCCCTGGGCAGCCTGTTCCAGTGCTTGACAACCCTTTCAGTAAAGGGATCTTTCCTAATGTCCAATCTAAACTTCCCCTGAAGCAACTCGAGGCCATTTCCTCTCATCTTACTTGGGAGAAGAGATCCCCATCTCGCTACGACCTCCTTTCAGGCAGTTCCAGAGAGCGATAAGCTTTCCCCTCAGCCTCCTCTTCTCCATATGGAACAACCCCAGTTCCCTCAGCAGCTCCTTGTCAGACTTGTTCTCCAGACCCTTCACCGGCTTCGTTGACCTTTTTTGGAAACCTCCTCTCTCTATACCTGTTAACCTTTCAGCCCTTCCAGCTACACGGGGTGAACCCATTTCAGTCTGCTACCAAAGTGAAAGACCTCACCTGGATTTTGCCTCCATATACAATTTCTATCAATAGAAGCCATACCACTCTACCAACATCATCCCCTCTATATTCACACTCTGAGAATAAATGTCAGAGAAGAGAAATGTTTTAGTGTAACTCCCTTCCAAAGCAAGACCAACTCAACCTGTGGAAGTTCTTAAATCACAAAATTGAGGTAGAAGCCAAAAACCAAAGAATCCTGCAAAACCAGTATGAGACCAGCTGCCTTGGCAAGAGGAAGTTAACTTTGGGGGTTGTTGTGGCCAAAGTGCAGGACCTAGCATTTGGCCTTATTGATATTCATGCGATTGGCCTTGGCCCAACAATCCAACCTGTCCAAAACTCTCTGAAGAGCCTCTCTACCTTCAAGTAGATCGACACTTCCTCCCAGTTTTGTGTCATCTGCAAACTTACTAGGGGTGGACTCCATCCCCTCACCCCAGTCACTGATAACGATGCTATGTCCTTGAGCATCACATCTACACGTCTCTTAAATGCCTCCAGGGATGGTGACTCAACCGGTTCCCCAGGCAGTCTGTTTCAGTGCTTGACAACCCTTGCCATGAGAAGAATTTTCCTAATATCCAATGTAAAACTCCCCTGGGGCAACCTGAGCTCATCTCCTCCTATCCTATAGCTTGTTACTGGGGAGAAGAGACTAACCCTCACCTCACTACAACCTCCTTTCAGAAAGCTGTAGACAGTGAGGTCTCCCCTCAGCTTCCTTTTCATCAGGCTAAAGAGGCACAACCAAGCTGACGTTCAGTCTGGGTACACAGCCCTGGTTTGTTAGGGGAGCGGTTTGTTAACAAAGGCTGAATAAGGCAGTTTATAAAACCCAGGCAGCTGCCTGCACCCAGGCCATCCTGTGGGTCACCTCCTGTGTGATCCTCTGAACTGCCTAGGCTGGCAGCTGCTGCAGTGCAAAGATCACACACAAAATCTCTGGGGTACATGAGGGGTGTATCCCAGAGGGGTTTTTCTCCTCATGGTTGCTCTTCTGCCATGGCATTTTACACTTGCTGACACAAAGCAACTGCGTTATCATGATCTGCACTTCCTCTCAGAGGCCACTGGAAAGAGGAAACATTGAGCAAGTGGAACTTTCACACGGGGATTTGTGATGCTATGATCAGAGGTACCGGGAGTTAATTTTCCATCTTTTTCTGTACTTTGAAATATTAAGGTTGCTGAATGCCATAAATGTTTTGCTTGCTCCTGCCAAGGAGACATGAAAATTTTATTCTGATCAGACTAAAAATTTTTATCAAGGAGATAGCGTTTCTCAAAAATACGGTATTGCTTCTCAAGCACACTTACAGACAACCAACTTGAAACTGTCTCTGTGTAATTTTGCTCTTTGGTGGTAACAACAGGAACATATTTTGTAGGCACACACACCTCTGTGTACTTGTGCAACTAAATCCTGATGTCTTTGTTAATGGCCCAAAGTAAAAGACAAGTCAACAGAATCACCAAATTTATCACATTATGAATTGTAGGTATTCACATAAATTAATTGCAAGTACAGGCAGATACAGGTACATCTTATCAGGTTCCTTGTACAGTTAAAGGAGAAGGTCTTGAGTTCCTTCCAGACAGCATTTCATACTAACATCAGGATCCTACCTGGAACTGTTAATGGGGGCAGTCCCTCTCTCTAGCAACCACAAAGGTAAGTGGCAGATTCACCTTCATCCAAAATTAATTCCTCAGAACATGCTGCCTGCTCAAACTTCCACAGCAGCTTAGACTGAATACTGCATTATTTTTTGTTTCCCAGTTTTACCTTTTGCAAGGTCAATGCATACAGCATCTTGATGAGCAGATTACATTTAGTGAGATGTAATACTGAAACTAAGCTGGTTTGTGCAATATACTATTAAGAGTCTCCAGTATTCATCTGAATTAAAGGCATTATATGTGAATGTAACATGGTATTTTTTCAAGCTGAAACTAGACTCTTTCTCTAATAAAACAGAGTGCACTTTGGAACCAAGATATATGAAAACATCCCCTGAAATATAGGGGAAACAAATTCTGCTTTCATTCAACTGATCTTTTTAAAAAAATTCTTTTTATCCTTTCCCGTTGTCGGTTTGAGTTGCATACTTCTCAGCAAGCTAGTAAGGAAAGAACTGGTATTTTGTATTCATGCATTGCTAAACAGACACACACGTAAATCAAAGCAACTTGCATACCTTGATGCTTTGAGGAATTTTAATACAGAACTACTGACAGTCAATTTTCAATGTATTTTTTTTTTAATTCTTCAGCAGAAAACTGTAAACCTCCACTGACTGCCAAATACTGAAGAAAAATTTAATGAAGTACATGTTGGAAATAATTTTTCATGGTGGCAGGTTACAGATGTTGCTTGCCAAATTTAACCTCAGGATGATAAACAGAATTAGTCAAAAAAATAATCTACTCAATGCTTTGAAAGGAAAGAACATGACACTGAGTGGAATAAAACAGAGTTTAAATTTACTGCAAGGTAAAACTGCTTATATGAAACAATCTCACAGGTTATTTGCCAGTTAAGGAATAAACTTCATTTCACACAACATATGAAAACAACATTTCTCAGAGAAAGATGGAAAGCTGCAGTGTCTCATCTCATGTTTGTTCTCAGTCAGTCCTGGAACTGGGCCTCTCAGTTCCATGGGATTTCAGCAGCTACCTGTAGAACATTTGTACATTCTGTACAAAAATCACACACCTTCCCCATCGAACAGCCATACAAAGGGGACAAAAAGTAAGATCTAGATGCCTGCACATCCTTCTGACAAGCTAGAAGTTGTTCTATGGTGGTAAAGAAAATATACTTTTACTTTTTTATGTAGTTATCCAACCCATCGACATTAAAATTTAAAATGTAGCTACAAGCTGTTCCAAAGAGTGGCTGTTTTAAATTACCATTCTCCATGTAAAATTCTAATAGAAAAGCTTTACATTTTGAGATGCTGGAACACAAAGCAGATTTTTCTATTTATTATCCACTCACTGTTCCTCTCTATCGGATGACAGCGAGTGTTATTTTTGTAATTGCTCCTCGAAGACATCCCACATGAAGCAGCTTTTCCCAGCACAATCTGACATTGTTCCAGCTCTCTCCAGTTCTCTCCAAACAAGTTTCCACTGCAGTCTCCAAGAGCACTGACCTCTCAAACACCATGGGCAGGTCTAATTTAGATTGCAAGAGCTAAACTTCAAGAACTGAACATGAGCCTAGAGCTGAAGTTTTGTTTTCCATAAGCAGAAAAAGAGGTAAAATCAGAAACAACTATTCCACAATCCTACGAACAGGTCAAGATGATCATCCTGCAGCCTCAGGGGAAAGGTTTTCAGCTGCAGGGCAAAAGCAGGGTTGGAATTTTTGCTTTATCTTTTAGCCATTAATGCTGCTCTGGCATCATCTCTATCTATCTGGCACAGAGTTTTTGTCTGGTCTGCCCCTCTGTTGCTACCTGTCACGTAGATGGTCATTGCTTGTCATTTGTTGGCAAACCCAGCCCAATGGGGCTCAACTCTCCATGTGGGCTGGGAGACTCTGCAAGAAACACGTGTAAGCTGGAGGCATACTCAACTCACTTGGAAAGAAAAAGAAAAAAAGCATCACTGTCTCCTTCATTAAAGGAAATTTTCTCACTGCACCTTCCACCTCAGTCCAACCCTACACCAAGCATAATTATTTTACTTATTCTTGCTGAAGCTATAATGAGGTAGAAATATTTTCAAGTTCATCAACTGCCTCCATGTTTTACGGAACATGTTAAAAAGCTTCTGCCATTAACCGATGCACACCTCGCCCAACACTCTCTGGAGGATGACCAGCCATGAGGCCACAGCTCAGACCTCAACCACAGAGCAACCTCAGGCTCCCTTCTGGATCAACCACCCTCTTATAACTCTTTCAAAGTCAAATATTTGCAGCAGTGGCTTATCAAGAGCTTATCTCAAAACTGTGTCATGCATCTGACCCACTTCACATTGTTTTTTTTTATATTTGTATTTACAGACACGTTTTGCTACATTCTTAAACAGATATTTCTTTCTGAACAGATCCATTGTTCGGATACCTGTAACACGACCCTGAGCCCAGGGCCACATATCCATCTCTTCATTATTTAAAGCCAAGTAAGAAACAACATACCCGGGATCCAGGAGGATTTCTCCCTGGGAAGGCAACAGGAAGAGGAACATGCTGGAGCAGTCAAGTACCCAGCTGTACAGAGAAAGAGGCTCTATTATGGAGTATGTTCTTTAGCTCTGCTCCTTCACCTCAGTGGTATTTCTGTAATGTTTTATTTTATTCTGTTGTCTTTTAAAAAGTCTAAAATAGCTAGAAAATCTGTTTTTAAAACACGACCTGAAATGCTCACTAAAAATCTAGCTGTTTTGAGCAAGCAGGGTTCCAACACCTAAAACAAAAGGAACTTAAAACAGCTTGGTTTATGGCACACAACATATACATAGTATATTTTTAAAGACCTAACTACAAAATGTTCTCACCATTTAAGCTCTGCATGATCATCACTTTACATAAAAGTTGCAAGCCAAGCTGTGAGTCTCACACTGAAGCATAAGAGCAGAAGCATTTTATAGAAAGTCAATTCACGGGCAGAGGTTAAACAAAACAAAAATCAAGAAAATACTTGAAAACAAAAGCAAAAACTCAACTGTTTTCTATCAGTAAAGAGCCTTGTGACTGGGCAGGGAAGTCATACTTGGTCAGTGCAAGGGTCTGTCAAGCTCCCTCTCTTGTACAACAGTGAGCCACAGATGCCTACAGGAACCGAAGTACACAAATCACGTAGTATTTCAAGCAGGAAGACTGGCAACACCAGCATACCTCAAGTTACAAAAAATATTGAACTGGATTGTGCAGCTACCAGGATCTGTGAATCAGCATTGCTAATCAAAAGATTTCAATTATTAAGGAGTGCTGGCTAGAAAAACTCAGCCAGGGAATAAAGGCTGCTGATGCACGCTAATATTTATAAGTGTGGAAGTATACCTGAAAGAAATCCCAACTCCTATGTTCAATCTTTGCCTTTAACACACAAATGCTAGCAAATCTTTTAGCTGTATGTGACATGGAAAAGGTGGACATTTTCATCTAACGTCAATTTTATGGGCAGGTTTAAAAACCACCACTCCTGAGAAATACCTGGCGGCCTCCATGGCAAGTTGTTTTCACGGTAGCAGTGCGTAGAGAATTAGGCCAGAGACTGTTATATACATTTGCTGATACTTCATTTTGCCTTTCCTTTGAAAGAAAAGCCTAGCACTGTCTTCACTGAACACATGCCTTTAGGAGTGTGTAGAAAGCCCGCAGGGGTGAAAGAGATGAAGCAAATTATTTTCAAAGACTCCTTTCCTTTTTCTTCTCCCTATTTGGAAAATGAATGCTTTGAGAACAGCATT